TTAGTGTACGGTAAAATTAAAATTGTTTAGTTAGTGAAAAGTAAGAAAAAAAGTCTTTGTTATATGCTTATTTAAAGAAGATTTTACCCCCCAAAAAAACACAAAGAATAGGCCGAAATTAAATTTCAGTATTATGTACTACTGTTCTAGATTATCTCCTATTCACCGAATATGTCAAGATTGATACAAAAAGTAACATAAATATCAGCTAAACTTATTTTGTTTTAAATAATTAGTTATATATCTTTAAATAATTAAAGAAATACCTAGCTGATATTTTCTATAGATATTGGAATATGAAGGTAATATTGTAAACTAAAAATGTGATATGTGGATTTAATTGTAAATTTTTCTCTTTTCCAACGTATGAAAACTTATCATAAAAATAAAAAAAAAATTAATACTCCTTCCGTTTCAAAATGTAAGTTATTTTGGTTAAAAGGGTGAATATTAAAAAACTATTTTTTCTAAAAATATCATTTTATATATATAATAAAAATAATTTAACCAATAAAAATAATAATTATAAAATATTATTGGTCACACAATAGTCAATAAAGTTAAAAAATACATAGGATTATCAAAACAACTTATATTTTAAAATATAAAATAACCTCCAAAATAATTTATATTTTGAAACAGAGAGAACACTCAACAACTAGTTGCCAATGAAACAGTAAAACAATTTTTTTTTTAAACTGTTATAAGTAATGGGCTAATTTGCCCAATAACCAGGAAGAAAAAATAATTAGGAAATTAACAAAAATTAACCTATGTTGCATATTTATATTCATTAGATTTAGGTTAATTGGTTAGAATTTGAATTATAATTTTTTTAGGGTTATTTAACCTAATTTTCCATAAATAGGGGTTAATTTGCCCAATAACCGATATGGGGAAAATTTGACGAATCTATAGAAGTATAATAAATCTACCCCAAAAAAAAATCGAAATATCCGTTTCCATTAAAAGAAAAAGTAAATAAATTTAGATACGATTCAACATCAAGTATTCAAACATTTGGTTTATAATAAATGAGAATCATGCTTACTATGTGCATCTCTAAAGAGAGACTTTAAAGCTCTCTTCCC